AAGAAGTAGACAGTAGCTTTAAAGATGGCGTGTTTCAGAAGAAAGAATTAAAAATAAAGAAATGCATCCATTTTCTTCTTTGTTTTGTGAACATTTTCTCTCTTGAATGGTTAACTGGTTGTTTGTTTGAAAGAGGGTAGCAGCAGAATCGGGATTTTTTTTTCTTAAAAAAAACAACAAAAAAACATTGATTCTAGTAGTATGAATGAAAATTTGAGAATGATGGTAGCAGTAATATTCAGAAGCTACCCTCTCCTAAAATTCCATCATTAGTGTCCCTATCCAGAATTATCTAGGGGTGCCAATGAGTAGAGGGAAATATCTGGGGTCCAGCCCTGGTTAGGTTTTGCATTACTATTTCCCCCTACCATATATCCCCAACAAAATTTTTAAATGCCAGAAATAAAGATCAAATAATGTTCACATATAAAAAGAAAAAAAACTTACAAGCAGTTGTTTACAAACATTCTGTATACTTTCAAATCATTGTTTGAAAATGGGCTCAAATAGGAGAACATGTCAGTGTCAGATTGTTTCTTTTCTTTGTTCTTATAAATCATATTCAGGGAGTTATCAGAAGGCAGGAGTTGAAAGTGAGCAAATACTTGAAAATTTGAATAGAGAGGAAGAGGAAAAAAGTTTAGGTTGTTGGTTTTAATATTTCTCTTTCCTTCTCTTATACGGTAAAATATCTCATAAAATTATCTTACACTATAGAATGCATTCATTGTTAGGAAGGTTTATATTTAAGAAAAAAAAAAAATCCAAGTGCATGGCAAAAAAAAAAAAAAAAAAAATAGCACATGCATACAGACTGCATAATAAAAAAAAAAGCTTAAATCAAAAAATGGGGAGTTTAGCAAAGTCTGAATATAATCCGATAATAAAAAATGTTGAAGGAATAAGTCAAATTCCATCCAAAAATGGCTTAAAAAAAAAAAAAAAAAAAAAAAAAAAAAAACCATTATTTGGGTTAGGTGATGCCAGTTGTATACAGCAAAAATGAAATATTAACTTTCAAAAACAATCACAAAATTACAAAAATCAAACATGCATTTGGACAAATTTTTTTCAAACCTCCCTCTGTAGTTGTATTAAACAAATGCTCCCTTCAAGATTTAATGACAAAATTGATAACTTATGTATAAAGACACACACTTTTATATGCAAATAAAGACATTAGTATTGGTCACAGTCTTTTTCAAGACCTCATCATATCTCAAAAAGGCTTTTTTTAATTTTTTTTTTTTTTTAAATATTTTCCCATGGGGACAATAATTTGTACTTCTTCTGAAATACTTTAGCAGTCTCTACCCTCCCTCTGTTGAAATAACAAATTGAACAGGGTTGATTGGGGAGGGAGAATGACCAGGTTGGGTTAGACAAGTGTTTTAGGGAATTATCTTTTAGATTCACTGGCTAAATTAGAATATTTTAGGTTAAATGAATTTCCAACATTATCTCTTCATAGAAGAACCTTTATATCACCATTAAGATGGTATCAGCAGATGAGAACTAATCATGGTGTACAGTTTTACAACAGAATCATTTTTCAGATTTGATGGAATTGTAGAAATCATCATTAATACTTAAAGAAAAAAATTACATCTTGCATTTGCAAGGTGAGGCTATGAGCTTTCTTTGTCAACCATGGCTGATAGTGTTATTTACCTATAATGACCTATAACAAAGCAAGTCAAACATGACTAACTGACCACCAAAATGGGGAAGACAGTAAAATCAAATTTTACAATCACTTGTCAAGCTTTTCACAAGGAATAGAAACAATGAAAGCATTAAAGAAAAACAAGGAGGTAAAAAAAAGTGGGGATGGAAGGGATTGCTAAGTAGTGGTGATACAGGAGGAGGGGGTTGCTTTTAGTGGGTAGAATATCAAATTTAGAGAAGCAACAGAGGTTTTGTTTTTTGTTTTTTTGCAAGAGGCACATCTAATACCAAAAATCCATTTTGGCAATTTCTATCACAGTCACTAATCTACAGGTAAAGTAGGAGAAAACACAATTCCCAAGATTTAACACTTTTGGTTTAGAACACTGTTCCATGATTCTTTGAAAGTTTTGGTCATATTGTATCAAACCTCCTTTCTTGAAGACAAATCCAAGTGGTTAAAAATAAAAATTGGGGCAGCAACTCAGGTATATTAAAACTGCAATAAAATGGGACCTCTAATTTAATACTATACTGCCTGATAAAATACACATTCCATAACTCCAGGTATATATTGATAGTGAAGGCCTGACAATTAGCATCACGTGAATTATAGCAACATTCTTTGCAAAGGGATGGGTATTAAGACCAAGTTAAATGAACTCAAATAGAAACTTTTTAATTATTGCCAACAGAAATGTGGAAGTGAATGGAAACATTTGCTAACAAATTTATGGAATTAAAAACACAGTAATAATGTCAATTTCAATACCATATATTTGAAAAATAGTAAAATAATTACAATACTTTTAGCAAATCACTATTTAATTATGTATTAAATTTATGCATGTATATGTGTATACACATACACGATTACAGTACTTTAAGAGATACACAGCCATATTTCAATTGTTTATAGAATATAAACCACCAGAAGTGTATTTTTTGAAGATTACCAAATCTGGCAGGCACCAATGAATAATGGTTGTGTAATATTTGCAGTGTATATGCTTTGTGAAATTTGGATATTGTCTACAGCACAATTGAGTAATCATTTATCAATTAGTAGGATGGGAAATATTCTCAAGAAAGGAGTTTTTTTTGTTTTTCTTTCTTTAAATACTCAGCAGGATGGTGGTCCAGTCAGTCAGGAAAGAGGAACAAATATGTTGCCCTATCCTACTGCATGTAAAAAAAAAAGCCAGATCATAAAAAAAACCTTGGGAATATGATTTAAGGGATTTGTGCTCTTCCAAAGTCAACAGCAGTTTTTTTTTTCTTTCTTTCTGTCTTTTCTGAAGGGAAATGGTGGGAGGGTTTTGTTTGAGGTAGGGTGGGAGGAGACATGCTATGCAAAATGCTCAATCAGTATTCAAACACATGTGACCTTAAACTAACTTTATCACAGTCTGGTCAGCAGATCCTAGCAGACGATGTGCAAAATTTGGTGGAGGAAGCACAGTCTGGAATCTAATATGGAAGATACATAATTGTATATGTACACAGTTATATACACAAAGTATCATTTTATAAGTATATATCACATGGACTGATATATATTTATAGAGAAATCCAATACATTTGTATATGAATGATACAACAAATTAGTAAGGAAAGGCTCCATTTTAAACTTGGCTGATCATTCTAAAAATAGTTTATTTTCTTTCTGTTTTTAGTTGAAATTTCATTTTTTTTTTTTTTAGGAAAAATTTTTCTGCAGGTTTTTATATATTTTTGTGGCTCTGGGTGGGCTTAAAACTTCACCTACAAAACCTAGAAATAAATTTATGGCATTAGCACACAAACAACACAAACAGAAATTGTGTGAGTGTACTGAAGGGGGAAGGGAGTAAGAAAGGTTTTATTCATTGACGTTTTTTTTGTTATTTAAGTATAGAATGGATGGCATGTTTTTTTCTTTTTCAAATTTTTTTTTGTTTTATCTTTCTCAGAAGATCTGCAAACAAGCACAACCAGAGAGTGAACTTCTCACAGACATTTTTTTGTTTTTTTTTTTCCCCAAAATTATACTATTTTTTTTAATGAACCTTCTTAAATATAAGAAGCTTTTTTTTTTTTATATATTTTTTACCCATCCCCACCCTCATTTTTTTTTAATTTTTTGGTCAGCATTAGATTTTTAAATCAAAATCTATACATCTGGCATACAAGGACAAAGTTTTTATATCTCATTTGTTTGTTTTTGTTTTTTTTATACATGAGCAGACATCCATACATATTTACATATACAATTAGATATATCTATGTATGTCTACATAATTTTCTGAAAGACAAGGAAGGCTTAATTTGGATCTCTCAGTTTTTAAAGTTCTTTGTCTTCTTATTACAACCTTTTGGAACTTACAACCTCATTCATGTCTTATATAGAATTAAGATATGTTGTTACTTTGTCTGCTGTTTTAAATTCATTGGGCCCTTTAAAAAAAATAATAATAAAAAGGAAAAAAAGGTTTCCACCCAACTTCTTGCTCACTCTCTCAAGTAATTACCCTTGCATGATTTAGAAGCAATAAATAAAGAACTAAATAAATACATAAAAATTATTTTAAAGTGCAGAGGTGAGGAATAAAATAAAACTTCATTTGAGAAAGTACTAAATTTTTTCCACTAATGTTGGAATTGTTTTCATTGGCAAAAAAAAAAAAAAAACAAAAAAAAAAAAAAAACATGCATACCCCCACTCCAGGGAAGGAGGAGAGTTTTGATAGAAAAAAATGATTCAGGAAAAAAAAAAAAAAAAAAAAAAAATGTAGAGAGAGAGAGAGAGCAAATTAAGTGTATCCCCGCTGCCTTTCTCCAATAAGAATTTTTAGCTGACTTGACTGCTTTAGTCAAATTTTTTTTTTTCTTTTGATAGGAAGAGTAGGTGAGGAGGAATTACTTAAAAGATACGAGTGGGGGGGGGATGAGAAAACAACAGAGAAAAAAAAATTGTTTTTCTTCTCAATCAGTAGAAGAGAAAAAGAAAAAAAAAAAAAGAAAAAAAAAAAGAGACATTTTTCCATCTTTTCATATATCCACACACACATAGAATCTTCTATGAGTGTCTATGTGTACAAATTTGAGAGAGAACCTTTGAGGAGGAAAAAGAAGAGAGTATCCAAATCCTAGAGGCATGAAAGAGGAAGAAGATGCAGTTGCTGTAATGGTTATTTCTGCTTTTGGTTCAGCAGATGAGAATCAGTGGAGGGTCATGTTGATTTCTTGGTTGGTTGCTTGGCTGTGATGGTGAGCAGCAGAATGGTGAGGGACAGGGAAGGAGTTCTGGTAGCCAAAGGTTAGGGAAGGGGCAGGGTCATACACAGCCACTGCTAGGACTTTAGAGAGGCCATTTGCTTCTGGTCATAGTCTACAACCAACTTCTTTATATGGCCTAATTTTCGATGCAGAAATTCAAATCGATTCTTGGTCTGAATAAATTTGGTGTCCTTTTTTGTCTGATGATATTCGTTAACAATTTTTCTTTCCAGTTTCTGCAAAAAGAAAAGGTTACAACATTTAATTGCATGTTTTGAAGATGTATTTCAAGAATAAAGACTGATATGGAGCCATAAATTTAAGAAGAAGCAACTGTTATTTCAAAAGAAAATTGCAATGAAGGTCATTTTCATGAATTCATTTTTTGGTGCTGTTCTTCAAAAATTGCTAGAAGCAACTTGTATAAGTTAAAAACAAATGAAGGCCTTGAAAGAAGGAAAGGAAAGCTTAGGACAATAAGTGCAAAGACATGCAGTAAGTTATTGAAATTGAAACTTAATGAAAACAAGGTGGGCCATAAATAAAGACCTTAGACTAATCTTAGACACAAGATCAAAATACTGAGGGTACCTCATGAAGAGAGAATGCTAATGCATTACATAATTGATCTGTGAAATGAGCTTGTTAACCATCATTTGATAGAAGGTGCTGATTTAAAGTATGTAATATTCACATATTCTCATATAACATTCTAATATCCATTTTGCAGCCTTCAAGTATACAATTCATCTGGGATTTAATTTTTTTTTTTTAAAAGTAAAAAAGTCAAAGGCAGTCAATGTAAGAAACTTCATGTGACCATATTTAATTATGAAGAAACAAAATGTTTAAGACTTCACTTTCAATGATGCAAACTGTACACCAGAATACTATAGAGAATGAACATATAGTAGAATTGTGAATTATTTATATCTGAATCTAGATAAATTGTCTTGCACCAACAAAAATATAGCCTTGTCAAAACTGAGTGAAAACAATATTGAAATTTAACTCAAGGTATGATTGAAGAAAAAAGGACAAAGTTGTAATTTCAAATAAAGTTGCAATGATACAAAATCTTCAACTTTAAAGACAATGTGAAGTGAAATGGACAGTTCTTATGAAAAAATACTATGGTTTGTTGGTCAGGTCTGGAGAAATGTTATGCTGTGACTATGTATGCATGTGTAGGTAGATTGCAAAGTGAACACTAGACACTTTTTGGACAGTGTGTATGTGCGTAATGGCATCAGAGAGGCTTGACTTGAAAGTGACAGACATTCTTCTATAAGGATTATATTAGAAGCTACTTTATTAAGAGTTAAAATGTTGAAATAAAGTGTTCTTTTTGGTCAATAAATCTAGTAAAGGTGTTTCTTTTCAAATTACAGCAAGTTATCCGGGTGTTGCCAGTTGGAACTATTTAATGTTAGATTTTAATTCAAAAGAAGCTTTCCTTATTAACTCTTAAATAATTGCTTACTAGATTTTAATTTACTTCCAGTTACAAAAGATAAATCAATATTGTGCTAGCTATAAAAAACAAGTTTAATAGTTTGAATAACTTTCAGAACATTGATGACTTTTCAAAGCACACAATCAAGTTTAATAAGCAATGATATATCTATGCAACATAAAAACAAATTAAATTAGGCATGTCCATGAGATCGATAAAAAAATAGCATACCATGAATAAAAAAGGCCTTAAATTTGATTAAAATAATTTTTTATCGTCTAAATGTTAATATCAAGAGGAATGATCAAAGTATTTTTTGAATATTTTTTTACATTTTTTAATAATTTCTAGCACGTCCTAAATTTTCGTTAAAAATCTTCAATTTTTTTGAATCGGAAAAAATTGACAAAAAAAATCGATAATCTCCCTTTTTTTTTTTTGAATGTTGCCGTTTAAAATTTATTTAAAAAATCAATTATGATTTTTCTTTTTTAACTAATTTTAAAAAAATTAGAAATTATAAAGTTTATTTAATATATTTTGAAACAAAGATTGCTTATTTTCTGTGATGAAAACATGTTTTTTCAAATGGGAGAAAGCCAGTCTGAACTGCGGTGTTGATTGACAAATGACATGTGCGTGTTTTTCATCACGCACTGACATATTACGTGCGGAAATTTATAGTACGGAAGGTCATAAGTGACAATTTATCTTTACGTTAACAACTTATTTACCTTGTTATTTTTAAGTAGGCATAACATGAAAAAACGGCCTTAAACTTGACGAAAGCAGAATTTTATTACCAAAATGTTTATGTTACTATTAAGGGGAAAAAACAAAGTAATTTTTCATTATTTTTAAAAAATTTTTCTGTCTTTATTAGAACGTTTTAGCCTTTGATTGAAAAATCTTGTTTCTCGTCATCACCGGAACTTTAGTAAATAACATGGCAAATTTTTTGTTCATTTTTTTCTTATGATAAACATTAATTTTGAAAATCTTGCAAAAATAGATATAATTGTCAGATTTTAATGAAACTTTCAGGAATGATGGAAATTATTATAATTTTTTTAAAGTAATTTTATATAAATGTAAAGGCCGTTAACAGTGCCGTACAAATCAAGTCACGTGATGTTTTATTGGATCATGTTTCTTCCGGCCTCGTACATTTGATTTAACATTTTTTTTCGGACACATAGGGTAAAGAACAGTAAGGTTATTCTCATTGCTGGTTCGTTGATTGTAAAAACCTTGTGCTATTTATAATCTGTACAGATACAGGTACCTAAAAAAAACATTATATATAGGATTCGCCAGTACCGCTAATTTTAGAATATTTAACAACATTTAGTAACTTTATGTAAAAATAATAAAATAATTTATTAAATAACAATTCATTTAAAAATTCATTTTTCATCAAAAAAGTTTTTTGCCTTCAGACAATATTATGCATATTCATAAAAACAAATAAAAGCAACTAAAAGCATTTAAAATTAAATAGTATCTTTGTTTTATTGGGTTTTTGTACGTTACAATTTAGAGCTGATTTTAGGTTTACATGGTCGGATTTTTAAAAAAAATAAATCCTGATTTACTTTCCTCAAACCCTTGTGTTTTTAACTAATATAATGACTTGTGTGCTTTGACCATAAATTTTTAGAGTTTTTATTAATTTATTTATGGGGGTGTAATATATATATATAAAAAAAAATATTTTTATAATAACTTTAAAAATAAAATAACATCTAATAATTTCCATGATTCCTGAATAGTTTCTGAAAGTTTCATTAAAATCTGACAATTATTTCTATTTTTGCAAGATTTTCAAAATTAATGTGTGTCATGTAAGAAAAAAATGCACAAAAAATTCGCTATGTTATTTTTACAGAGACTTCCGGCGATGATGAGAAACAAGTTTTTCAATCGAAAGTTAGAATGTTGTAATAAAGACAGAAAAATTTTTAAAAATAATTAAAAATTACTTTGTTCTTTACTCTTAATAGTAACAAACATTTTGGCGATAAAATTTTGTTTTCGTCAAGTTTGACGTCTTTTTCATCAGACTATGCGCTTTTTTTTTAGCGATCTCATAGAGATACCTAAATTAAATCATTCAAGTAATGTAATTTTTTTTCAGGTAATTTAAAGTGTACAATATTAAAATTCATCTCCAAGCAAAAATTTGTTTGTAATTTTAGGGAAATTTATAGACTTAGAATTAAGTTTACTTAAGAGAATAGATGATTTACAGGATAATGTCCAGTTTTTCTTGTACTGCTATGACTAAAGCCTCACTTTGAAAACAAACCATCATCAACTCAAAGCTAAATTAATGAAAGACATTCCAGAAAGAGCAAAAATATTACATAAGATAGATTAATACTCACCTCATAAGCAGGAGAACCTTTATTTAAATTCTTCATTTGGTTATCCCAGTCAAGAAATTTCTGTGAAACTTTATTAATTTCTTGATAAAGTTTTTGATATTCAAAATACTCAGTGTTGAAGTCATTTTTATACTCTTGACGTTGAGAATCACCGCATATCACAGAATATTTACTGAAAATTAGAAGGGAGAAAAATTCTTTAATATTGAAAGCAAAGTTTCTAAATATATTATGAGGAGGTACTGAGAAGCCATTAAAAAAAAAAAAAAATTTTGTAGTGGCTCGAGCTGAGAACTTAGTGTTCCCTCATTCAAGTCAGTGAGAATTGTTGATTGTATCGAAAAGTAACAAAAAAGGTTTTTTTTTTTTTTTAAGTAAAAATAGTTTAGAAAATTCAACATTAATTTTATTGAATATGTGTTATTTTGTTCCACTATTTCTTACCATCTTTCAGGCAATTTCATTAATGAATATTTCTAGAACTTTTTATTTTTTCTTCAAAGAACTGCTTTAGGTGACTTTTTACAGCATTCTGAAAGAACAGAATTTTTTTTTCTTCATTTATTCTGTAATGACCAGAATAAAAGGTAAGCTGAAAGTTCAATATATAGGCAAGTTAAAACTTCCCAGTAAGGATGTAACAATTTTTGTTTAGTCACCAAAAAAACATGCAGTCCAACATTAAATTGATATTACATCCTTTCTCTTAACTAATTCCAAATGCTTTTCATTGCTTCTTAGTCTGTGAGCAGTACTTACTAGAAGTAACCAATTGTTTTTCCTACCACATAAACAGATTCTCTACACAAGAAAACCTGTTTTTGCTACTGTTAATTTTACTTGCCTACACAATCTTACATTTTGTGTCAAGTATTCATTACTCATTACAATTTGTTTAAGAAAAAAAAATACATTTAAGTAACAAATTTTGCACAAATAGTTTATATTTTTTTTATTGTTTTTTTTTTCCACTTATGTGGAAGCCATACTTCAAAGTGACTAATATAACCAAGCTAGTGTAAATGATTTTCAGTGCTTGATTTGGACAATTAGAGCAATTAGACACCTGCTCAGGGACATTTGTGTTTGTTCAACACTCACAGAGCCAACCTGTGGCCTATACTGCAACTATGCGCTCAACAGACCTTAGTTACAGTTTCTGAGAGAGAGAGAGAGAGAGAGCACATAATCTAGTACCATCAACATTTTTATGCTCATCCTATTGGTCACAGTGATTTGTGACTTCCATGCTAGCACAACCATCGACAGCTTCTGAATAGTTCTGTCGACCCAATTTCACTTACTTGGGTCAACCTGTGATGTGGTTTTTAGACACTTTCCAATGGTTCTGTATGCTGGAATCACCTCTACAGGATGATAACACCAAGAAGTCACCTTTTTTGAAAAATCAACCATGGTGAGATTTGATCCTGGGTTGGAAAGTGAAAATTCTAAACACTTATCCATGTGCCCATATAGATAATAAAATAAAAGCATAAAAAGGTCCTGAAAATGTATCCCATCTCTATCTTTAAAGTTAGAATCAAGCAAAAATACAATTTTAACTAATTTGCAAAGATGTATAGATATGACCAGCTGTCACAACACAAAAGCAATAGTTTTGAATGAAATTAATTCAAATTGAACACTCCCTAATATACCATTTAAAAGCATTACGTATAACAAAATTTTAATGACAAGTATGTGAACATTTGCTTAAAGAAAAAAAATTACATTAAATATTAAATTCAACTTCCCAAAATTTTCAATTATATAGCCTGTAATAATTCTAATCAGGCAAGAAGTTGATAATAATTACAGCTACTTAATTATGCAGATATCATTAAAAACAAACAAGATTGCACATTTGTGAAATTTGAATGATAAAGAAATGTTAAAGCTTACCTAAGATAGTTAAGAGTGTCAATATCGGGAGAGGAAGACGGTGATGGAACTTCTGAAAGAATATAGAAAAAAAAATTAATTTTTTTTATAAGGAAGAGAAACAAAATATCAAAGTCAGTCAGTTTGAGATGAAAATTTAACTGATTAAAATAAGTTTTTGCCAGAGGTCTTCAAAAACAATGACCATTGAGAATGTTGCACAATATATGATGTAAAACAGATACAGGGTACACTTGAGTTTTGAGATTTTTTTTTTTTTTTTAGGAGAGACATTAATTTAAAAACAATACAAAACTAATATCCTTCAAGGTAGGATTCTTCAACTTTAATGGTCTTGCTATTGATTGGTTGATTTTGTTTAGCGGCATATCAACCTCTATGGGTTATTTAATGCTGAAATCTAAATATTTTGAAAATTTTATGCCTTCAAGCACAAATAGATATTGTCAATCATTTTTCTATAAAATATATTGTTTGTAATTTTTTTTTTTTATATAAAAATGTATTGCTGGTATTTTTACTATAAAAATTGTTTTGTTCTGGTTGAGGTGGGGGTGTCTTTATTTACCCATAGCTGGGACCCTAACAGATGTTTCCATACTTCTCAAAACCTCCAATCTTCCGATCAGAGGCCTTGCTGCCAGATGTATTTTATTGTCATACTCGGGACTTCTTGCTATTGTACCCCAGATACTTCTTGAAGCCCATACCCTACTGTATCCCTACAAAGTGAAGGGTGTCTAGGCTCCTTGTCACAGCCTCTTTTCTCTCCTCTATGTCTAGAAAATGTTAATTCATAGGTAGACAATCATTTGATAGGTTTCTGATAAAGTTTTGTGTTAATCTTGGCAAAAATACTGTAGAAAAGCTATGAAATGATCAAGACTGCTTATAGATCGTTTTCAGGATGTGGAAGAAATGAAAGAGGCAGGGAAAAAGACCCTGGACATGTTTTGGGAAGGCTTCAAGATGTGGCTGGAGTGCTGCATTACAACAAATGCATTAAGACAGTTCATCCTTGAAAAATCTTAGAGTTTTGTTTTTTGTTTTTTTTAAATAAATATTCTGAAAAATTTTCAAAATTTCTGGTGTGGACCTTGTATGTGTATAGTTTATAATGAAACTAATGTAAAATCCACTTACAAGCATCATTTTCAGATATAAAACATCTATAAGGATTTGTGAAAATTATATAATGTTCATAAATTTAAGTAATAAACAGAATAGGAATTTGAACTTTTGCATGAAAACAAGAGAGAAGATCAGCAAAACAATGGAAGTAAGAAGGGCCCATCTACCTTGAAAAATCACCCACTGGTGACCCCTACCCACAAAAAAAAGAGCCAGTATTTCAAATGATTAAACACATGTTCAAATACTTACCACTGACAGGAAATACACACCTATCATAAACACTAATCAAAACCCTTTAAAAGATAAGAGTATTCTATTAAAAGTATGACTCACAGAATAATGTTATCAAGATTTCCAATTCACCCTACCCCCCACCAGTCAATATTTTTCCTTCTGGTTATTTTTCAGACATAATTGATTATTTTTATTTCAAATGTTTTGTAGTTTTAAAATAGAATTATATACTTCCAGATCTTGTACATTTTTACAGTTCAGGATTAAAAATGAATGAAATGCAATCAGCATTTTCAATTCAGGTATCAAACCTTACTGCAACTTACACAGCAATGGACCAGTTGGAAACACATTAACAAGTGACACTGATAAAAATGTAAAATATTGGACATATAAACGTACCTTCCATTTTGCTGGTGACCGCAGTTAAGTTATTTTTGGATTGGGCATTAAAGTTTGCACTCAGTTGGCTGTTGCCAAGATGGTTGTTGGTAGAGTCCGAGGACTTACTAAGTCCATTCATTAAATGAGAATGAGTCACAGAATTGTTGTTTGGAGTGATTATTGGTGGTTGGTGCTGGCCTAGCATTTTCACAACAGGTTTCTTTAAAGAGACACCATTCTGCTGCTGCCTCTCCCCGACAGTTGGTGGTGACACCCGCATTTTCTTGGCAGCTTGAATGTCTGCACTTGATCCACGTTTCTAGAAAATTAAAATGGGTGAAATATTATAGCTATCCAGGCATGCACCTCATTTAAAACATTTACCAAAGCTGTTCATGAACAAATCACTATCATTCAAGAATTCTAAATCATTAAAATTTTAAAAATAGTTTAAAACAAAACATCAAAACCTGAATTAAATCCTCCTCTAAATGTTTGTTTCTGTTAATTTCTTATCCAATCTCTTGCTAATTGAAAGTTGTCATGAATTAAATTCCATTCATATCAAAACTTAGCAAAGCAAGAATGCATATTGCATACAAATATGCATAGACACACATCCATAAAACACAGCCATTATTAACTAACCTGTGCATTGTTTACACCATATGGACTTCCACTATTGGGAAGATTATTACTGTAATGAGGAGACGATTCTTCAGGAGAATTAGAAGCACTTCGGCCATCAGTCGCTATTCTCCTAGAAAAATTAGAAATTTCTATGTCAATTAAAAAAAGAAAAAAGAAAAAAAGAAAAGTTTCAATTAAACAATTGATGAATGATTAAATAACCACATAGACAAATATACAAAAGATGTCTCCATGAAAAGATGTTGGGGGGAGGGGAACAAAAAACTCTTCAGACTGGAGAGAGGGTGACTATAAGAATATGAGACAAGATGATACTGAAAAATACTCAATCTAGACCACACTTCCCAAAATGTTAAACATAGAAATTTTTGTTTTTAGAATTCACTCTTGATCAGCCCAATATTTTTTCAGCACCCACTTGAATGGACCTGTCTATGTACATCATGTTACACAGTTATGAGAAAAAAAAAAGAAAGAAAAAAGAATAACAATACATACCTCCGAACAAGTTGGCGTTCTCCTTCTGCATAATACGGCCAGTCAAGTTGAACCTCACTGTACGTTCTTTTGGCAAGTGTATATTTGTTTTCCTTGTATTGCGTTGCAACTTCTTCCATAAGAGTTCCTAACATGTCTTTGTCAACTGGACCATCTGAGACATAACAAAACCAATAAAAGCAAGCAGCATAATAGAGAATGACAAGTAGCCTGTTTAGAAATTAAAAATATTCATATTAAATTTATCAATGACAGGCATATTGAAAAATTAGAAATATATAATAGTGGAAATAAAGTGATTAATAATTAATCATCTTTACAAACTTGATAAGTAATAGAAATATTCAGATTTACAGGTCTTGAACTGAAAGGTAGCAAACATCCTTAACCTTAAGTTCTTTTGTTAATTATTCTTTCCCAAGTTGTAATTTCTGATATATAGCTTCTCCATTGAAGAAAAACAATAGAATTCTGAGATGAAATATATCTCTTTTGTTAAACATGACAAACAAGAAGAATTTAATTTTTCCTTATTTAATTTTCCCAGTAATTTTTACATTTTCCCCTGTTTGGTGAGAGTAAGAGAGTGTAAAAATTGTTCATTGTCCCAAGCGCTTTCAACCACTTCTTTAGCCATTTTAAAGGGGGTTTGTTTTAGGTGTTGACTGTTTAAGATGTAGTTTTTTTCATATTAAACATCTCTCTTCCACTATCAAGCTCACCTTATTTAACAGTGGGAATGGTGTGTTGAAAATAAAAAAAAAATAAATAAATAAAATAGAAAGATGCTCATTTGAATTCCAGCTGTGTTCAACACGTGAAAGCTTGGAATAATCGCTCCTACTAATATTCGTGGCAAAACACACACACAAAAAAATCTTAGAGTCAAAAATGAAGAGAAATTAACAACATTTAAAACAAAACCCCGTGAAAATTACTAAAGTCTCCACAAGAACTTGGGACAATGGACAAGTTTGCACACCCTTACCCACACCAAGTGGAAAAATTAAAAAAAAAAAAAAAAAATTTCCTTGCCTGTCAAAGAAGTTGCTGTCCAAATGTGTGTATATATATATATATATATATATATATGTGCTAGTGCAGTTTTGAACAAGTTATTGGAGGAAATAAATAAAATCACTTAAATGTAAGGGAGAAAACTAACCACACCTGCTATTAGGCTTCTGAGTTTTCTCCCCTACATTTGAGAGTTCCTCGCTTTCTTATTATGTTTGTAGTATTTGCTATGTCATGTTTTAGTGTTATCCTTGTTTGAGAAATGGCTTCACAATCTTAAGGTGATGAATATGCTAAGGGCAGTGATGAAAATCCAGAAGAGTTTAGAGAAGTACTGAGTTTCTCACAAAGGTTACAAGTGTTGGATGAGTTGAAGACATGTCGATGCCTAAAGTAGCACAGAAAGAAGAGGTAGAGTTGAATAGTGTATGTGAAAGAAAATAGAAAAAGAAAATTCATAGAAATGTTAGTGTTTGAACTTCAATAGTAAAAACCTAATCCATCGTTCCAGGTAAATTGCTTGTAAAGACCAAGAAAGCATAGAATGCACAGCTATTGAAGCAGATATACTGTTGACAAACATTCTATATGAAAAGTCTCTTAACCAATAAAAAGCATATAGTGAAAGGGTTGAGGAGTGGGATAAGTTTAAAGCTAGTAAGGCATAGCTTTGCAAAACATTAGAACCACAAGACAATAATGACCAGATGATATAGAAGCAGCATTAGTGTTCTTAAAACACCTGTAAGGGATGTTGAGTGAAATCAAAGATAACACACATTACAGTTGTATCAAACAAATAAAGATTACCTTTTTTCAACCGAAGTATTAATTCAGGTTTGTTGTATGGTCGCATTGCCAGCAGATGGATAACTCTATCACTGAAAGAAAATGGTTTCAAGTTTTTATTATCTACAGATACAAAAATACATAGTTGAAAATTTCATGGTAAGATGTTTAAACCCCAAAAATTACTGAAACATTATATACTACAATTTTACACCCTATAAAACATTTTGCTTTAGTTTGAAGATATATAAAAAATTTTCATAGTTTTTTTTTTTTTGTTTGTTTTTAAGCATAAATATACAAGAGGAAAATGTGACATTTCAAAGGATAAGGTAATCTGATGTTGCAAAGAGGATTCAAGTTTTAGATATTTACAGTTCATAGTAATTCAGAGATTTTAAGGTGTATAATTTTTTACAGCAGAAACAAAATTTATTTTAAATCCAGTAAAATTGACGATTAAAAAAATGTAGTTTTCAATCTCAAAATTAAAAAAATACTCAAAGATCATTATCTTTTTATTTCTTTGTCTTTTTTTAATAACACTGAGACAAAAATGCTTTCAATTCAAAGTGTCTTATGTACTTGTCAATCTATGTGAAATTAAATACATCTTTTTATAGTAAGCAAGGTTTTGTCGATATTTCAGTCAGTAAAATAAATTTTACAATAGTACTGAACAAGAATTCTCAAACAAAAATAGTGACATTAATAATAATTAAAATTCAAATAACAGAAGTAATTAACATAGAAGTTATGTTTAGCCACTAAATGACAAGTGTGAAACAAAGTTACCATGAATAATACTCCCAAAATTAGATCATTTTTAAAAGGATATATTTTTCTTCTTTTATTAGATTTGACTAATTTGAACATTTTTTCAGATTGTTTTTAACATCTGAAGAATACACAAACGAAAGATATGTTAAGCCAAGAAAAACATGAAAAAATTAGTCAAAACTAATAAAATACTGCTTTGATAAGATTTAACAAATATACAAAAGTGACTGGTGAAAAAATAGGAATCCCTAACTTTGAACAGGTCATACCATTTACCAACAAAAAGAAGTCTTTTCAGTTTTGCCACTGTCTCTTAGTCATTAAAAATAAATATTTACAATTTCAAAATGATCATCATAATTTAGTAACAAAGCAGTTTCTGGATGATATAACTAAAAAGAGATAAAGATTACCATATTAAGATATAACCAATAAAAACTGAGAAGTTGCTGAAAAGTTCTTGGCTCAACCATGAAGTGATTAAAAAAAAAAATGATATTTGTTCAAACATTTTGGAAAAGGTGTCATTAACAACTTCACATACACACGCTCATTTGTGTGTGTGCTGACATCTAAGTATCAATTTTAATATGAACATTTTAATTTATTTTTTACTACAAATAAAAAAAAATATTCAGTAAGTCAATTTTAAAATATTTAACTAATGAAAATTTTAAAACAATGTCACTATCTAATAACAAATGCAAAGAACAAAGGTTAAATTTTTTTTTTTTTACTGCATCAGCCATTTTAGGTCATAATGCAAGGCAATTGTTTATATATTGTATCAATTACAATTCATATTCACTAATTTTATAACTATCAACCCTTTGTCTATTTACTGAAAATTTGCAATTTACTATTATAAAAATCACATTAGGGCAAAAGCTACTCTGTGTTTTTGTAATTTTGCTCATATAAAAGATTTTACAAGATTCTTCTGCTACTTTACCAAATTAAATCTTAAAAGGATACGATGGGGGGTGCAAATGTATGAATCATAATCAAAATAATTTAGAGAATTCTATACAATCCCTGTAATAATATATATATAAAAACTATGTGAGGTAAATGTGGAAAGCATTCTAAACAGATTGTATGAAGTGAAAATTGCAGAAATATCTGCACTGAAGTCAATGTTTAAATTTCTTTTTGATTTGACTATTAGTTGCTGGTAGAGAATAATCAGTTTTGCTTTAAAATAAGAAAACTACTTAAGCTTTAAGCATGTGGAAAGGTTACGTTCATAGTATTAATGAAATTTTAAAAGATTAATGAGATCACACTATTAAGGATCACAATATTGTTACATTTGAAGGATGGTAGCATAATCATCTGAATTTAAAAAAGCATATTAGTTCATTCAACAATTGATTAGAAGGTCAAAACACTCCCATAAAGCTTTGACAGTTAAAACAAATGACAGACAGAAAAGAATATCTGTTCCATTTTAAAGTTTCCGTTTAATTAACCAGGATTTCAATTTAGCATCTAATGAATATTTAGCCTAATAGGTGCACCTATTTCTTTTCAGATATAGCTTTAAGGTCAACAAGCTTGGAAAGACTGACTACAATCTAAGACTTTACAATCATTTCATAAAAAGAAATAATTCTGAATTATCTAACATTTATTAATCCTTAAAAAAATAAATAAAATAAAATAAAAAGCTTTGTATTAATTGGAAATTTTAATCAGAGAGCTCATCTTTATAAGATCCTAAATGCATACATCAATCCTGTTCCACCTCCCTCCCCCACATTCTGACTATAAACAAAAATAAAAACTAACCGGAGGGGCTCATTTGCTGGTCCTCGTCTTCCATTATTAGCAGATTGTGAGAAACCAGGGAAAGTTTGAGGTGATGGCACACTTTGGTTATTAGAGAATGCACTGCTACCATTGTGTGAAGACACACCATTGTGAGATGTTAATGATCCAGAGCTGGAGTGGTGGTTTCCATAAGGTCCATGGCTGGACCAAGATGACTGGGATATTGCACTTGATGCTTTTGGTGGTAGAATGTTATTCTTATTCACTTTCTTATACATACGTCGCATAAATGGTCCACTTGGTTTAATTTCTTTTGTACTGAAAATTAAATAGATCATAAATGATTTATTATTACTGAATACTTAGGAGTGAGGGTGATAAAGAGTGAAATACATTTAAGGTATACAATTATTTTCAAAATATAAAGAAAATAGTCTAATGTCAAATTTATTTTAGTTTGAATTAAATTCCTCATCTTTGTTATTTATTATGATATACACTGTAATTGATGGAAGCATTTAGAGACTAATAGAAAATAGCAATGGAGAATAAAGTTGTTGAAGGAATCAGCATACACAATCAGGGGCGGATTTAGGCCTTGAGCGGACACTGGGCTAATAAAATTTGTGGGACCACTTCATTACATATGTTTGCTGCTGGTGTATAAATGAAAAACACATTTTTTTTTTTAGATGCTTTTTTGGTGTAAAACATGAAACTTCAAAATTTTTTTTAATCATTTTGGAACTCATCCAATTTT